CTATGGTGGTTACGGAATGGGTGGCTGGGGAGGATATCGCCGTCCTATCCCTCCTGGTATGTTCGGTGGTTATGGTATGGGCGGGATGGGAATGTATGGCATGGGAATGTACGGAAAGTAGGACGCATGCTTCACTAGGGGCGGCACATCTTGTAATCATGTCAATAATCCTGTGTGAAAACTAATAAATTGCAAAACTGAAATTGTTTTTCTGTAAAAAGATATATGTGAATCCCGATTTTACAATAAAATACACGGCATGGTTGCTGATACTGTCAAGCAAAAATACTTTAATAATGTCCTATTAGCCGTTTTTGCTGAAATCACAAAGCGGCAATAAAACTAATGTAGAAATTTCAGATGAAGTTAAGGAAGTTATTTGTCTGCATGAGTTCAAACTCTGGAGGATAGTACTTCGGATGCATGCCATAAGAAACCTAATATATGGTCCCTTGTTGCAAAGCTTTTTTCAAATGACATCAACATTTTACAACTAAAAGAGAGACATCTAGTAACTCTTTTAGTGAGAAATTCAATAAAAATCTGCTAGTAGAGGAGAGCGATGAGTTGAGTTAGTAGACTTTTGGTAGTAGAAAGCGGAACCCTAATGGGATGTGGACGAAGACTGAACAGATAAATTCTCCACTACGGTCTTGGATATGACCTGCAACTAAATGTTCGACGCCCTATGATTTTTAAAACGTGGTTTTAAAAGACAGCAGAAACTAAATGTCCGTAAGAAAGTCGGAGTATATGCAATATTTTGAGTGTAAAAGTTATTGTCTGTTTTTGAATATTACCTGGTAGCTCCTGGATACTGGCGGAAAATCGCGCCTCGTATCCGCGTATACTGTCCACGCACACGCAGAGGCATCTGAGTAAACGTAATATGCATAGTCGACAGAATAGCGTGCTCCATCGAGAAGCTTTGCATATTTCAGGACACAGTTTATCTAATGCGAGTTGGGGTATTACACTGCCTATTGAGCCGCTTGAGCCGCTGTTTCAAACATTCGATATTTTTTTGATTGTGAAATTGTTTGAGATCGTTATATGTTTGGGCATTTTTTAATAAAGCAAAACTTAATAAACTCCGTCATTAGTTACAGATTTTCTACAAATAGATTTGAATTCAAAAAAAAAAATAATATTTTGAACTGATGGAATGGCTTTTTTTTTTGATGATGGAATATGTAGCGCTTACAACAATCAAAACATAAAAAAAGCACATAGGAAAGAAAGAAGAATTCTGGCAGGTTTAGTTATAATCGTCTATCTATCTCACATCATTTTATATTGCAGCGCTGCCAAAGAATATAAACGACAATTTAAGGTTTTATTCTTAAATTTCTTCTTCATTTTTTTTCGAAGGATATTCCCCAAACTTTCTTAATGTAGTTGGTTTTATTATGGAAGGAAAATTGAATCTTTGGGCAGGTTGGCTTTTAGCATAAAATGCTTTCCGCATACGAGGAGTTTTTTCCACAAAGTTAGCCTTAAACTAAAATTGTTGAACTTACACAGTGCGGAACAGAAGCAGACATATATCTAATTCAAACTGCGAAACTTCGGTAATCGAGGAAATTTCTGTAATGTATTTTCCTGACTATCTCGAAAACAGCTGAAGTGTTAGTTTTCGTATTGCTTGCATCTACACCGTTGAATAACAGTAGAGATACTCGTAAGGCAATCATAAAATGATGTCATAAAGAGCACCACGCGTTACTAGAGTCTGCATCAAACGTGATTTGCATAGTTATTCACCGTTTTCTCACTTCAAGCTTAGAAGTAGTGTTATAATCCATATTTCTTATCACCTGGATGTCATGGGAAGAAGAAAAGAACGGCATAGCCTGAAGTGATTTTAAAGCTTTGAGATGAAAAAAAGATTTTCTTTTCACTAAGCAGACGGGTCCCTTTGCGATGTCTGCTGTTCAAATGAAGAAGCCGAAAGATTTGATACTAGCTGAGCTCCAACAAAATAGGTGAGCTCTTGTTCCTTACACCGCACAAAAATATTGCTATCGTGTTTGCCATTGTAAAAGGTATCAGATAACACAAGCAATATGTTGTGCTGGAGGTTCAACTGACAGCAAATACGCAAGTACTATTTGAAACGCTAGATAGGTATGGTGAACTTATTTAGAACTTTAGGTTGAGTAAACATTATGACTCTGGTTAAAGAATATCTCCACTGTAACGCGTTCAGTTGATCCGCTGCTTATTTTGCTCACTTAACTCTTCGCCTTGCCATGGGATCGTCACGTGCGTCAGTTCTGGCAGTTTGTTTCATGAGTGAAAATCTATTGTCCGCTCCTTCCTGTGCACTGTATAGATGACTGTTGTATCATGGCTTCTACAAAGTGTAAATGAGCGAATCCTACCGGCTTTTCAATCAATAATAGTAGAAGAATATAAAATACGCGAGACCAACTGACTAATGGTTGGCTTCCTTATC